TCATTCTACCTATACAATAGGGATATTACATTTCTGTTTGATCTTTAATCCATTTATAAATTTTTTCCCATCTTCTTTTGTGTATCTTCTCATTCTTATCCTGCAACCTTAAACTTAAGTCATCCATCCTGGCTAGTTCTAGTATTTTATTTATCAAATCTTTTCTTGTAGGTAATCCTTCTAGTTTCCAGTGCTTAGCTATTAATATTCTGGCAGCTGTTATGATATAACTAATTATATAAGCATCTTGGTTTTTATAACCTCTCGGGATCATATTCAACAGATATATTTCCGGTTTTAGTGTTACATTTATACCCAAACTTTCTTGAAATATTCTTTTCACCATTCTCCAGAACCCTTGTATCTTATTACATTCCCACCACATATGATAGAAGGTCCCCTTACAAACTTTGCACTTCCAACATCTATTCGAGTACCCCATATAACATTTGGCTATTTTATCAGGCGCCCAATGCCATCTATGAAACATTTTACACACATTTTCTTTATATGCTATCGCTCTCATAGTTTTAGCTATTTTCCACATAGATGCCCATTTCTCCTCTTCTATTTCTCCTATATCTCTCATCCAGGTGGTCATTACAGCTTTAACTTCTTCGTCCTGTTCAAAGTCCGTTAGCAGAAACTTATATAGCTTTTGAATTAACTTATCATTTGAGGACAGCCATATTTTATCTAGTTCATTGTTTTGATCTTCAAATCCTCTTATCATATCTTTTTATATCTCTCTCTTAATGTTATCTGCTCCCACCATGAGAAGTTGTTTTCCTGTCTTAGTTTTTCTTCTGTTTTTAATTCATTTTTTTTGCTTAGTAGTGTTTGATAGCTTTCCTTTAAATTCCTCGTTATTAATGATGGTTTCATAAAAGCTTCTAGCGGGGCCACCCATCTTGGGGTTTTTCTATACCATCTGTCTTTTAATTTAACCCAAATCTTATTCAGTGATCCTCTTAGTGTGTGTCTAGCAAAGTTTGAATGGATCTTATCTTTCCCGTACCAGGCATAAGCGTGCCATCCCATGCTAAGATCATGTCCCTCTAGTGACAAAAGTCTTGTATCTTCAAGACTTATCCACTCCTTTATCCACACTAGACCGGCCGCTTGGTAGTAAATATACCGCAATGTCTTGTTTTCAAACTGCTAGGTTGGCAGGAGCTGAGGCCAGAGACGAGAGCTCACTCCGTCATGCGGCGCTCGGGTCTTGGTGCCACAACATCAAAGTAGGTGCAGACTAACACAATAAATAAGGCACAGAGTGCAATGTTTCCTCCTTGAAAGATAAATATTACTCCACGTAGTCCATTCAACTCAGTAGGAGGAATCCACGTTTTCAAAATATTTTCAAAAACAGTCTTTGCAAAAACGCTCATTCCAGATACTTAAGGGAGATGTTTCCATCAACTTCTTCAGTTTGCCGGCTGCATAGCTGGAACCCGATTTCAACAATTTCTCCTGACGACAAGGGTCATAGTGTGAAGAGCGAAACTCCCCCTCCAGCTCTGTGACTGAGATCCGAGATTTCCTCCGAGAATCTGGCCTGGTTTTCTTGGTCTCTCTTCTCCGTTTCTCCCTCCATCTTCTCCAAATGGGACAGCCTGTGCCGCTCTTGTCACTCCAGATAACGCTGCATCTGCTGAAAGGCTGACTTGGTCTTAAGAGCATAACAGAAGCAAATGTTGGATCAGGCCAATAGCCCACTCCAAAAATCAAAGCTGGGCCTGGATCTCTCTCTTACACTCCAGGAAAGCCTCCTCCGCAGGAAGTGCAAGATGATTTTGGTGCCCGATGGATCTGTCACACAGGTGGGAAGTTGGTCACTGTGGCAGAAGAGCTTCCATGGCTCTTGCTGCCTTTCACACACTTCCCCTCAGCTCCTTTCCTGAAGGTTTCTTGACAAGTGGAGAAGAGATTGCATTTATACCCCGCCCTTCACTACCCGAAGGAGTCTCAGCAGTTTACAATCTCCTTTCCCTTCCCCTCCCCACAACAGACACCCTGTGGGGTTGAGAGAGCTCTTTTAAGGACTGCTCCTGAGAGAACAGCTCTGAGAGAACTTGTGACTGACCCACGGTCACACCAGCAGCTGCATGTGGAGGTGGGGGAATCAAACCCGGTTCTCCCAGATTAGAGTCCGCGATCCTAACCACTACACCAAACTAGGCTCGCCAGCTGCCGGTTTGGCATGAATTACTCTTGCAGGAATATTTCTCGGCACAGAGGGCAAGAAGGGGCTTTTTCCTCCCTGCACTGAGCGAGGCTGTCTTGGCAGAAATGGTGCCCGCAGTCGAGAATCGCCGGCTCTTTGAAACATTCCCCGCAGAATTGGCAAGTCATGGACTCACCGCAAGTCCCGACTGCCGTGATTGCTACTCTCTCCCTTCGGGGAGATCCACGCGGAGCGGATGGGCACGGGCGGCCGCCAGGACCCTGGCTACCCCTCCATTGCAAACGGGGAGACAATCCTGCCGCCGTCCAGGATTTGGAAGGCCCCTTAGAAAAGGCTGTGAAGGATTCGTTTCTTCGTTGAGCACGCCCAAAACAGCTCGGGGCAAGAAAAAGGCTTTTCTTATTCTCAACTGCACCGAATCGCTATTAGTCCAAAGGGTTAACCGGGTGCAAAAACGCCTGAACTGCTCTCGCAAGCGTTATGCCGCGCCCGCCAATAGAGACGCGCGTGCACCAGCCCAGAGAACGTCTGAACGGGTCTTTAAAAGCGACACGCGTTGTGCTGTGCCACCCAATTTCATTCCACTGTAGCCCGGCTCAGCTGGTCCCAACACTTTGATGAGAGCGAAAAGTTTGCAAAAGTCACTGCATTATGATTGGCTCAGGGACCCGACGTCACACAACCTCCCCTCCCCTCCCTTGTGAACTTCGCTTATTCGATAAAGGACTAAAGAGGCACCGGGAGCTTTTCTGCCTTTTGGCAGGTCTTAAATCCCGCCCACAGAGTCATTCCATTGGCTAGCAGAAATACGGGTCTGTGCTTTGATTGGGCAATACGAATTCTCTTTCCCCCCCCCCCGGCCCTTCCTGTAGCCACCTTCCCTGCGCTTCCCCCACCTTTCAGCCACGACCCTTTACCGATTGGCTGAGTCAGTCTAGTGGGCGGGAGGAGAGACTCTCAGGGGGCGGGGCCTCCGCGATGGAGGCGGGGCTGCTGGGAGAGCGACCGGGAAGGAGGGCCAAGATGGCGGCGTCCGGGTTAAGGGCGATGGTGGGAGTGAAGCGAGTCATTGACTACGCGGTGAAGGTGCGTGGCTTGGGCGCCCGGGCTCCCCCTTCCCTCGCGGGGGATTAAGCCAGCCTCGCGAGCGCGTCACGTGGATGGGGACTTGTGCAGCTGGCCTGATGTGGAGGTGGGGGGGGGGATGAGCCTCCATGTGTAGTCGCAGTCTTTCTTAGCGGGACGCTGGGCTGCCGAGCGATTGCCTGACACTAAAGGAAGCTGGGCTGGATGGATCCGTCTGCCGATTCCAGGGAATCTCTCCTTTCGAAAGCAGCAGGGAAGTTGTGCTGTGCAGGGAGAGAGGAACTGCTCTTAGGGCTGCCACCTCTGGCTTTGGGAATTTCTGGAGATTTGCAGGCAGTGCCCGTGATAGGCAGAGTTTCGGGAAGGAGCTCTGAGGAGAAGAAGAAGAGATTGGATTTATACCCCGCCCTTCACTTGGAGTCTCAGAGCAGCTTACAATCTCCTTTCCCTTCCCCTCCCCACAACAGACACCCTGTGAGGTAGGTGAGGCTGAGAGAGCTCTGACAGAAACGGCTCTTTTTCAAGAACAGCTGTGCCAGAGCTTGTGACTGACCCAAGGTCACCCCAGCAGGTGCAAGTGGAGGAGTGGGGAATCAAACCCGGTTCTCCCAGATTTGCCCTTCACTACACTACACCATAAGAGTCCTCCCTCCAAATCTCCCTTTGTCAGCACAGGATCTGATCTCTGTCACCTAGAGATCAATTGGGAATGTAAAAAAACCCCTGGCACCACCTGGAAGTTGGCAGTCATATGTACTGAGCTACTGTGTGTTTGTCAAAGAGGATATCTGTGAACTTGTAGCTTTGGATCTACCCAGGGCGACTCCACACAATCTGCCTCCCCAAGAGACAGGAGCCTAGCATGGGACAGATATGCCCCCATGCTCAAGCCGCTGCTGTCGGGGCAATCTTGGCGCTGGGTCACTGTGCCGCAAGTAGGAATGCAGCATGCGTGTCCGCCTTGGTTGCTCGTCCCCGATCTCTGACAGGCCCCCAAAGGTCTCTGTAGCCCAGTCAAGGCGGATAAGCTGATTGGCACAAGCTGTGCAAGTTGCTGCCTTCCCTCAGGGCTCTACCCCCACTGATTTGGTGTCTTAAGCGTTTGTCTGGGTCTCCTGGCTGGTGGCGCCTGCACTGCAAAGTTGCCTGCATATTTTGCTCCCTGCAGTGGGGCAGTTTGGCTCTGGAAAGGGTATTGGCGGCTGGCAGAGTTAAACACCCCCTTCTACCAGCACAGAAGTCCCCATCGAAATCAGCTGGATTTGACTTCAGTAGCCCCTTGGAGACCAACAAGAAGAAGAGATTGGATTGATACCCTGCCCTTCACTACCCAAAGGAGTCTCAGAACAGCTTACAATCTCCTTTCCCTTCCCCTCCTCACAACAGACACCCTGTGAGGTAGGTGGGGCTGAGAGAGCTCTTTTGAGAACCGCTCCTGAGAGAACGTGTGACTGACCCAAGGTCACACCAGCAGCTGCATGTGGAGGAGTGGGGAATCAAACCCGGCTCTCCCAGATTAGAGTCTGCGCTTCTAACCATTACACCAAACTGGCTCAAGATTTTCAGAGTATAAGCTTGCGAGAGTTAATACTCCCTTCCTCAGACTGGCTGTCAGAAGCCTATACCCCAGAATCTTGTTTGTCTCTAAGGGGCTTTTGGACTCAAATTTAGCTTTTCTACTGCAGCCTGAAGCTCTCAAAATCAGAGGCCGCTTCAAAAAGAGAGCAGGGGCTGATCTCCAGCGCCGTGTTCCTTGCAGCCCAAAGAAATCTCGACATCTCAGGCCGCTGTCGGGCAAGCGTCAGCCTGACATGCAGAGAGCGATTTTGCAGCGCGGTGCCATAAGGTTCTAGACACGTCTCGGTCTCTAGCAATACAGCCATTCTTTGTCACTGTATGTAGTGACAAGCAGTGTTCTCTCTAAGCTGTGCACGTTTGCAGCTGCTCATTAACACAGGAAGCCCCGCTCGGGAGCAGTCTGGAGCCATGTGAGGTCTTTTACTGCCTGTTGCTCGTTATAAGATTACAGCAATTATATTCTGCTCAGGATGTGAACTACTCTGCTCAGTGGGGGGGGGGAATTAGAGAGAACATTGGTCGCAAACAGTAAGTGGGCTGTTGCAGTCCCTAAGATTGGACGCAAACACCCTTCTTTCTGACTGTAGTATGTTTTTGTCAAGTGGTTAAGACGCTGAACTGCAGGCTGTGGAAGGTCAGTAGTTCAGCAGTTCGAGACCCGAGTGTGCCGCATGACAGAGTAAGCTCCCGTCTCTAGTTCCAGCTCCTGCCAACCTAGCAGTTCGAAAGCAAGAAATTGCAAGTAGATAAATAGGGACCACTTCGGTGGGAAGGTAACAGCGTTCCGTGCGCCTTGGTGTTTGGTCATGCCGGCCACATGACCACGGAAACGTCTTCGGACAGCGCTGGCTCTTCGGCTTTGAAACAGAGATGAGCACCGCAACCCTAGAGTCGGACTCGACTGGCTTTCGAGCAAGGGAACCTTTACTTTTACTGTGTGTGGGGGGGGGAGGAGCTTTTGGCCTAAAGCCTTATGCAAACAAGCGTCTCCTGAAGACCTTTGACCGGAGTGCTTTGGAGAAGTCTCAGCAATACTATTGGGACACTCAGCTGCCTTTTTAAGAGTCTGACTTGCCTGATTTCTTTCCCACAGACAGGCTCTGGGGCAGAGAAATTATTTGACAGATGTGGTAGAGGTTTTCACCTAGCTGGGTGTTTCTTACAATTATTTGTGTTGTCCTTTCGGAGTGTAAGAAGTGCCTTGCTGGATCAGACCAGTGGCCCCCCCCAGTCCAGCGTCCTGTTCCTTACAGTGGCCAACAAATTGCCTGGGAGGGCCCACAAACAGGGCGTAGAGGTCGAAGTGGCTTCCCAATGTTGCCTCCTGGCACTTCTATGCCGAGGCTGAGTGCCCCTGAATGTGGAGGTTCCCCTCAGTCACCATGGCTAGTAGCCATCAGTAGACCTGTCGTCCACGAATCTAAAGTCACTTTGGTATTGGGGGAACCTTTATTTCATCTTATGAGACCTTTTGTTGTGTTTTCAAGTAGGAGGAGGGAATTGAGACCAGAATTATATGGGGCTAAAGCAACTGCCCTATGAGGATTGGTTAAAATGTTTCGGTAATTTATGTACCCCACCTTCCTGAGTAGATCTAAATGACCTGCCTACCATTTTTCTTCTCACCTTGACACAGAGAGTACTCCATCTTTCTGTGTTCTACCTCTGAGGATGCCAGTCACAGGTACTGGCGAAACGTCAGGTCCTACAATGCCAAGACCACGGGCACACAACCCGGAAAATCTACAACAGCTATTGTGCTTTGTTCGCATAATGAGAAGACATTACTGGAAAAGACAACAAGGCTAGGAAGAAGAAGAGGAGGAGATTGGATTTATACCCCGCCCTTCACTACCATAAAAAAAACTAAGATCATGGCATCCGGCCCCATCACTCCTTGGCAAATAGAAGGGGAAGTCATGGAAGTAGTGACAGACTTCACGTTCCTGGGATCCCAGATCACCGCAGACTGTGACAGCAGCCGTGAAATTAAAAGACGCCTGCTCCTTGGGAGGAAAGCGATGGCGAACCTAAACAGCATGATAAAAAGTAGAGACATCACCCTGCCAACAAAAGTCTGCATGGTCAAAGCAATGGTATTCCCTGTAGTCATGTATGGCTGCGAGAGTTGGACTATAAGGAAGGCCGAGCGCCGAAGAATAGATTCGTTTGAACTATGGTGCTGGAGAAGACTCTTGAGAGTCCCTTGGACTGCAAGAAGATCAAATCAGTCAATCCTAAAAGAAATCAACCCTGACTGTTCCCTGGAAGGCCAGATAATGAAACTGAAGCTCAAATACTTTGGCCACCCAATGAGAAGGGAGCACTCACTGGAGAAGACCCTGATGCTGGGAAAGATTGAAGGTCAAAGAAGACGGGGACGGCAAAGGATGAGATGGTTAGACAGTGTCATAGATGCAACGAACATGAAATTGAGCCAACTTCAGAGGACAGCGGAAAACAGGAGGGCCTGGCGAGATCTTGTCCACGGGGTCGCGAAGAGTCGGAATCGACTGTGCGACTGAACAACAACAACTTCACTACCTGAAGGAGTCTCAGAGGGGCGTACAATCTCCTTTCCCTTCTCCTCCCCACAACAGACTCCCTGTGAGGTAGGCGGGTCTGAGAGAGCTCTCCCGAGAACTGCCCTTGAGAGCTCTGAAAAAACTTGTGACTGACCCAAGGTCACACCAGCAGCCGCATGGGGAGAAGTGGGGACTCAGACCCGGTTCTCCCAGATTAGAGTCCGCTCTCCTAACCACTACACCAAGCTGGCTCTCTGGAAGGAAAAGAGGAAGACCCCAGCTGAGATGGACTGACTCCGTCAAGGAAGCCACAGTCCTCCATTTGCAAGACCTGAACAAGGCTGTTAACGACGGGATGTTTCAGAGGTCATTAATTCGTAGGGTTGCCATAAATCGGAAGCTACTTGACAGCACTTAACGTGGGCACACAAGGGGAGACATGATGGAGGGCTGTAAAACCATGTACGGAGAGAGGCTTCCTCCCTTTCTGGGAATACAAAGAACTGAGAACACAAAGAACTCGGAGTCGTCTGGCGAAGCTGAAGAGCGGGAGATTCCGGGACAGACAAAAGGAAGTACCTCCTCTCACTGCGCATTGTTAAATTGTGGAACTCCCTTCCGCAGGGTATGGTGATGGCTGCCAACGTGGATGACTCTAAATGGAGAGTGGACTATCATTGGCTACTAGTCATGGTGAACATCTATTCCTTCCAGTGCCAGAGGCAGTGTGCCTCTTTCTATCAGTTGCCAGGGAGCATGGGCGAGAGGGTGTTGTCGCAGTCGCGCTGCTCGTGGGCTTCCTGGAGGTGGCTGGACGGGCACTGTGTGAACAGAATGCTGGATCTGATGGGCCTTTGGTCTGGTCCATCAGGGCTCTTCTTATGTCGTTATTGTGTATCCAGACCAAGGTTTAATGTTGCCTTCTAGCAGTGGGAATGTAAGGGCAAGCACATTGGATCAGACTAACAGGTTCTCTGGCCCCCGAATTCTGCTGCCTCCGAAGCACTGTTATTCAGAGGGTTTTTGTCTTCGATCTTTTAGTATCTAATGGACGGAACTCTCCTCCTTTAATTTTGCTAATCCCCTTGTCTAATCCCAAACCCACGGCCAGTAACATTTAAAGGATGGTTAATCCCCCCCACCTTTTAGTGTGGCCCGTCCCCAGGAGAGCAGTTGTGTGGAGGAAGATTTTATGCCAACCAACAGTCTGATGGATATGCTTTGATTCCTGCAATTGTGGAGCGGTTCCAGTCAGAGAAATCGCCCCTGTGCATATCCACGTACCGCTGGGTCATGTCAGAGAATGTCTCCGTGTAATTTCATTCCCACGCATGACCAAAATGATTGCTTGAATTGCCCCCCTAAGAAGCCGGTACAAGAGAAATCGGAATGCGCTGCTGCTTTGGGTCGGTAGCGATGCTCCCTCTAAGCTGCAGAGTCTTGTGAGCAAAGATTCTACTTTGTGAGCTACTGGCATTGAAGTTGTGAACGGGCGATTTGGCTGCTGCATGAATTAGTTTGCTCTGGAGCCCTCCTTCCTGAGCAAAGACAAAAATGGGTGAGCCGGAGGCTAAAAACCTGTGAGCTAGCTCACACTAACTCAGCTTAGAGGGAACACTCGTTGGTAGCAGGATCGAAGAACAGCGCAGGCCTGGGAGTTTGAACTTGATCAAGATACATTAAAGCGAAGTGCCCTGGTGTTGAAGTCTTGGGTGGAGATCGCGAGACAATCCGCCTGGCTTCCCTACAGGGGCGGTTCTGCTGGTGTAGACTCTGTAGCCCGATCTCAGATCTCGGGAGCCAAGCAGGGTCAGCAGCTTAGATGGGAAACCACCAAGGAAGTCCAGGGTTGCTAAGTATTGTAGCCCGGTCTCCTCAGATCTTGGAAGCAAAGCAGGGTCAGCAGCTTAGATGGGAAACCACCAAGGAAGTCCAGGGTTGCTAAGTATAGGCAGGCGATGGCAAAGCCACCTCAGTTCACCTCTTGCCTTGAAAGCCCTACGGCAGGGGTCCCCAGTCTTTTTGAGCCTACGGGCACCTTTGGGATCCTGACACCGGCTGGTGGGTGCAGATACAAAATGGCCGCCACCTGAGGCAGAGCCAACCACAAAATGGCTGACACAATTTATTTATTTTCATTTATACCCCGCCTTCCCCGCACGCAGGCTCAGGGCAGCTTATATAGGCACAAAAGTGCAATAAGAATACAACAGGTTAAAACAATTTAGGCAAAAAGGCACATCTCACAGGATACATAAACGACTAAAATACTCACTCCCTATTGCATATCACGTTGGGGTCAACGAGGGGGGATGCCATGGGCCACGATGTCCAGATGGCCCGTCAGCCCAACCCGGCGAAACTGCTCTGCAGTCGCACGGTGGTGGTAGTGGCGGCGGCGGCTCCTACTCAAAAGCCTGGCGGAAGAGCTCCGTCTTGCAGGCCCTGCGGAACTGTAAAAGATCCCGCAGGGCCCTGATCTCCACCGGGAGCTCATTCCACCAGGTAGGAGCCACCACCAAAAAGGACCTGGCCCTTGTGGCAGCAAGCCTGGCCTCTTTCGGGCCCGGGGTCACTAGGCGGTGTTGTGACCCCGACCAAAGTGCTCTTTGAGGCAGAGCCAACCACCCAGTGTCCGGGAGTGAGGCTATGCATCACTCTAATAGTAACGCTTCAATGTTTCAAGTAGACGCCCTGTTTACTGGATGCCTTTTAAAGGGAACTTCTTGTTTTGAAGTATTTCCTTGAATACACGCAGTGAAGATCACGGTGCTGTGGTGGCAGCCGCGGCGGCGGCAGTGTTTTGAAAAATCCACCCAGCCAATCAGATCTTCAGCGGCCAGTCAGAAGCCCTGCAAGGCAAAAGCCCCGCCCATTTCCTGAAAACACTTGTTGGGCGCCTGGAAAAATGCCGGTGGGCGCCCCAGCTCCCACGGGCACCAAGTTGGGGACCTCCGCCCCACAGGATTGCCATAAAGTTGATGCGACTTGACGGTCTTCTCCTCCACCAGCAACAGTGAGTCCACCTGCCCGGCCTTTGAGTCAGTTTTATGCTGCTACTGAGTGTTCCCGCTGCTACTGAGAGCCAGTTTGGTGTAGTGGTTAAGTGCGCGGACTCTAATCTGGGAGAAGCGGGTTTGAGTCCCCACTCCTCCACTTGCACCTGCTGGTGTGACCTTGGGTCAGTCACAAGCTCTGGCACACCTGTTCCTGAAAGAGCAGTTTGTGTCAGAGTTCTCTCAGCCCCTCCCACCTCACAGGGTGTCTGTTGTGGGGAGGGGAAGGGAAAGGAGTTTGTAAGCCGCTCTGAGACTCCAAGTGAAGGGCGGGGTATAAATCCAATCTCCTCTTCTTCTTCCCTCTAAGCTGAGATAGTGTGAGCTAGCTCACAGTTTTTTAGCCTCCAGCTCACAAGCTTTTTAGCCTCTTAGCTCAGGAAGGAGGGCTCCAGCGCAAACTAATGTATGCAGTAGCCCAATCGCTCACTCACAACATTAATGCCAGGAGCTCCTGAAGTAGAACTTTTGCTCACAGGGCTCCACCATTTAGAGGGAGCCTTGCTGGTGAGAGATGCCCCGCTGCCTTCTCCAGATGAGGAGTAGCAGCTGCCCCCAAATGCTCGGTCCCTGGTTCCGGATCTCCCAGGGAGCTCCCTTAAAGAAATGGCCTTCCTTCCTTCCTTGCAGGTCCGGGTGAAACCAGACAAGACCGGGGTGGTGACGGATGGGGTGAAGCATTCCATGAACCCCTTCTGCGAGATCGCCGTGGAGGAGGCCGTGCGCCTCAAGGAGAAGAAGCTGGTGTCCGAGGTGGTGGCCGTCAGCTGCGGTCCACAGCAGTGCCAGGTGAGGGCACGGATCCTGGGCGGAGGGGGAGATGGAGGGGGGGTGGAGCCTTCCTCCAGGGAAGCCTTTAACGTGAACCCTCAGTTGAGTTAGATCCAGGTGGGCAGCCCTGTTGGTCTGAAGCAGCAGAACAAAGGTCGAGTCCAGTGGGGAACCTTGAAGACCAGCAAAAGTTTAGTCAAGGTAGGAGCTTTCGTGAGCACGCCCACTTCCTCAGATACATCGAAATGGAAGTTGACAGTTCATATATACAGGCAGATGGCTCTACACAGGCAGATGGCAAATTAGCAGACAACTTAAGAAGGATGTTTTGACATACGCAAAGGCCAAATTCGTACGGCCCTATCTCCTGTTTTGACATATTTATTACTTCACAATTCCACCCCCCCCAATTAACTCCAAACAAATGGCGACCGAATGAACTTAGCTTGTTATTGCTGTTTAGTCTTTGCATATGTAAAAATATTTTCGTCAAGTCGTATGCTAATTTCCTGTTCACCTTTCTAAAGGCATCTACCTATATATATGTGTGTGTGTGTGTATATATATATCTATATATCTATATATAGATATCGATATATAGAATTGTCAACTCCCATTTCAATGTATCTGAGGAAGTGGGCCTGCACACGAAAGCTCATACATTGAATAAACTTTTTGTTGGTCTTAAAGGTGCCCCTGGATTCAAAATTTGGTCCTCAATCGAGTATCCAAAGTTGTCTTGAGCTCTACCAGTGTGGGGTGGTGGTTTGTGTCTCATACTGGGATCTGGGAAACCTGGGTTTGAATCCCCACGTGTGCCATGGAAGCTCGCTGGGTGACCTGGGCCAGTCATCCACATTCAGCCTAACCTACCTGACGGGGTTGTTGTGAGGATAAAACGGAGGTGAGGAGAACGACCTAAGCCGCTTTGGTTCCCCATTGGGGTGAAAAGCTGGATATCAATGACGCAAATAAATATCACATATTCATTTAATGGTATCTTAAAATCCTGTTCTGTTCTCATAGATTACCTGGTTTCCTCTGTTTTCTCCTAAATACCTGCAGTTTCCCCCCCATCCCCAGCTTCCTTCACAAATATCCCATGGGTTACAATCCACAAGCAGCCTGCACAGCTTAGTTTCGTCTGTGGTCGTAGAATCATGGAGATGGAAGGGACCTCCAGGGTCATCTAGTCCAACCCCCCTCACAAATGCCTCCCTTCCACACACAAACACTCAGTGACCCCTGCTCTATGCCCAGAGGAGGGCAAATCAACAACAACCCCGCCCTCCAGGATCCCCGGCCAAGTTGGCCTGGAGAAAAAAATTGCTTCCTGACCCCAAAGTTGTCAGATCTCGGAAGCTAAGCAGGGTTGGCTACGGTTCGGACTCGGATGCGAGACCACCAAGGAAGACCAGAGTCGCTATGTGGAGAAAGGCAGTGACAAAACCACATCGGAACATCACTTGCCTGGAACACCCTCTGTCGGATTGAAGGCACCTTGCTCTGCTTATGACCGATGAGCAATGTTCCCTCTAAGCTGAGTTAGTGTGAGCTAGCTCACAGTTTTTTAGCCTCTGGCTCACACATTTTTTGTCTTAGCTCAGGAAGGATGGCTCCAGAGCAAACTAGTTTATGCAGTAGCCAAATCGCTCGCTCACAACTTTAATGCCAGCAGCTCACAAAGTAGAATGTTTGCTCACAAGACTCCACAGCTTAGAGGGAACATTGCTGATGAGCCCCAGTTGCATCCAGTTTCATCGACTCTGTTTTGTGCACAGTGTACATGGAATGTGGGTTAGAACTCGGGCAAAAACTGCCTTGAGGGTTCAGGCCCCCAAATCTGACTGGTCCGTCTGGTAAAGTGTGCAGAGGTCTTAGCCGCGTACGTTGCTTCCCGTTTTATTATCAGTGGCTTATAATGTGTCGAACGGGGTACTAAATGCTTTTAAAGCCCAGCATGAGTCTTCCTTGGGAACTTATAATACATTTGGCACGTGGCTTGGCTTGCTTACTCGAGTCCCTCAATCTCTTTGCAGGAAGGGCCCCCCCTGTGAATCTGCCTTCTCATGACAAGTGTGTCCGCATTGCATGAGAAGATTGAGGTGGGGGTTACTGACGCAACCCGGGGGGGGGCGGGCAGCTCTCTGAACCGTTTCTGCTTCAGGCCTCTCAAGTGGCCAGACTGCCTTTCTCCGACGGCTGTTTGGAAGCAAGGCGGAGGTGGGCAGGTCACAGTTTCCCATCTGTCGGCGTGCTCAGCGGGCTGTGAGCGGCATGATTAATTCCAAAGCAAGGGTTTCGTGCCATGGAGGCGGACAGCCACCAGGTGGCAGCAGTGGCACGAGAGGACCGGCGTGGTTTTCATTCCCTTTCCCAGATCTGACCACCTCACAGGACCAAACTTAGCAGAATCGCACCCTTCTAACCCCATCGACTTCAGTGGTGGTACTCTGCTTACGATCGCACTGGTGAAGTCTAGAGGACCTGTCTTGGGTGGGTAGCCGTGTTGGTCTGGAGTAGAAGAGCAAGATTCTAGCAAAGCAGCGTCTTATACCGTGGGAAAATTTGGTTTCCATAGACTGGCCTGTGCCACATTGTCATTCCGTGGGTTGGCTCAGGTGTGTGGGAGGAGGCTGGAGGAAACTCCTAGATTATTGCTCAGTTCAGAAAGAAGAAGAGGAAGAGATTGGATTTATACCCCGCCCTTCACGACCCGAAGGAGTCTCAGAGCGGCTTACAATCTCTTTTCCCCTCCCCTCCCCTCAACAGACACCCGGAGAGGTAGGTGGGGCTGAGAGAGCTCTTTCGAGGACTTCCCTTGAGAGAACAGCTCTGAGAGAACTTGTGACTGATCCAAGGTCACACCAGCAGCTGCATGTGGTGGCGTGGGGGATCAAACCCGGTTCTCCTAGATTGGAGTCCGTGCTCCTAACCACTACACCAAAGTGCCCCCGCCGCCACCACCTATTTCCACAAAGGGTCTCTGTTTAGAACAATTCTCAGACCAGGAAACACGCGAGGACGAACTTAACAGCAGCTGTTTTCTTTTGTGGCTTGCACAAAGTGGCCTAGGAGTCGCCAGATACAAAGAAAAAAGACCTCCCCCTGCAGGGTCTTTAACAGTTACGTAGAAGAGGAGAACGCCGCCCCCCCTCCCCCGGTCGGGGTTCCCTCTTGACACCCAGTTTGGTGTCGTGGTTAAGTGCGCGGACTCTGATCTGGAAGAACCGGGTTTGATTCCCCCACTCCTCCACTTGCACCTGGCTGGATGACCTTGGGCAAGCCATAGTTCTGATAAGAGCTGTTCTTGAAAAAGAGCAGTTTCTGTCAGAGCTCTCTCAGCCCCACCTACCTCACAGGGTGTCTGTTGTGGGGAGGGGAAGGGAAAGGAGTTTGTAAGCCGCTCTGAGACTCCAAGAGAAAGGCAGGGTATAAATCCAATCTCTTCTCTTCTTCTTCTTGACTTGGAACACCCTTAAAGCTGGGGGTGAGACGCGGAATGGGACCGAGCCGGGCTTGGGAAGCTTCTCCTCTTTGCCCAGAGACGGGCCGGGGCTCCCTTTCCGCCCGCTTGTGGGAGGCCTGGTCTTGGCAACGCGGTGCGTGCATTGCGTGTGTAAGAGAGCGCGTGCACATGGCTGCTCCAGCTCTGTGGAAGTAACCGGTCCAGACATGCCCCTCTGTCTCTGCCTCTCACCTCCCCTTCTCTCTGCGGACCTGGCTCGGTTCTATTTTCTGCCGGCTGCGGGTTTCCTGACAGCCACGCACCCTCGCCAGCTATTTTCTGCACCGCTGCTCCCTCTCTCTCGTTTTCCCGGTGACCTTCACTCTGCTCCCTCACTCTGGCGTTCCCCCACTTTTTTCCTTTCCCGGCTCCCCCAGTTCCCAAACATCTAGAGTCTGCTCACATTCCTTAATCTGAGACTGGAAACTCAAAGGGGGGGGGTGACTTTGTTGTCTCTGTTTAAGCCCCCCCCCCCGTCCACCCGTTTTCCACTCTCAGAAACTGCCTCAGGTTGTTTAGCGGTTGTTGCGGTGGCGGCGTTTGGGACTGCTAACTCAGCAGCTGCCGCTGCGACCCTGATGTATGCGTGCAGCGCCTTGGCGGCCTTCCCAGTGGGGCAGGCATTCCCCCTTTCCCTTAAGACGCGATTATCGTGGCTATTAAGGAAGCTGGAAAGAGATCTCAGATTCCTGCGTGCTGGCATCAGGGTTCTCCCCCCCCCCGCCCCCTTAAAACTCCGCATCAATATTTTATTTATCCTGCCCCGGTGCAGAGCAGGTAATAAATTTTCCACGCCGTCAGCACGATGCCCTCCTAGTAGCGAGAGTGTATACCAAGCCCTGTCGCTCGTTACTTCTTGCTTCCGCGTGCCTGTGTAGAATTTGGCCCTGCGAAGCACGGTGTGTTGGTTGCTAGGCATGCAAATAGGTGTGAGGTGAGGATGGGGATTGGTGGGATGGCAGTTGATATCGCAAAGGTACTTCCCGCCCCCCCCCCAAAGGAGTTCATAGGAGGGCAGAGTTTCTGGAGCATGTGAGTGTTTGGAGAACTCAGTGCTTCCCCCTCGTTCTCAGCTTTCTGGGAATAACCTCTCCCATCCGTGCTGCGCCAGAAACATCCCCCAGTCCTGACTGTGTAAAAGTGCCATGTAAAAGGTTAAGTCAGTGCTTCCAAGCTCTTAAGTACAAGGTAGAACATTGTTGGGTGCATTGTTGGGACTCGGACTGAGTTCGAATCCTCACTGTGCCACAGAATTCGCTTTCAGTTCTCCTCTCACAGTCTGACTCACTTCACTTGTTTGTCGTGAAGATAAAATGAGACTGTTCCTTCTGTGCCGCCTAGATCTCCTTTGGAGAAACAGGGCACGCGTATGCGATAGATACAACCGGGCGAGGTTGGCCTCTGTTCCCATTTTGCAGACGAGAGAGCTGGAGTTGTAAGACATTGACTGTTCAAGGCCCTCAGTGTTAGTTTGAGTCGATTGACAGCTTGCCCCTCCCTGGGGTTAGGGCTGGCACAATCTGTTAATTACCCTTCCCTGGCTATCTCCACCTCCCCCTCCAAAAAAATAATAATAATTGGCATAAAAGCATCTTTTGCTTTTTTATGGTGGTGGGAGAAAGTGCCATCAAGTTGCAGCTGACGTACAGTGACCAGTGTTCCCTCTAAGCTGAGTTAGTGTGAGCTAGCTCACAATTTTTTAGCCTCTGGCTCACACATTTTTCTCTTAGCTCAGGAAGGAGGGCTCCAGAGCAAACTAATTTATGCAGCAGCCAAATCGCTCGCTCGCAACTTTAATGCCAGCGGCTCA